TAGGAGGCAATGAAAAGAACACCAGTGCTTGAAGAATAGAAAGGTGGACTTATTGCTTTTCAGCAGCAGTGCTCTGGTGTGATCATGTTGTGCAATTTCTACGAAGAAGGTGAACAGTCGTGCGAAGAATTCTGGCCAACTGATGCTGGTGGCTACAAATATTACGGGAAAATGTTTGTGAACAACAAGAGAGTAAGTTATTTGGCTTTCATGCACGATTGCGTCAGACCAGTCTTAAGCACAGCCGTCTTTTTGGATTCGTCTATAATGAACACTCGTCTCTGTTCGGTCACTTGAAGCCCCGAGTCGGGATTAGGTGCTAAAGAATGAAATCTCCCAGTGTGAGAAAAGGGGTCTCCAAGCGCAGAAGCTGTAGGACACTGTTATGGCTCAGAAATACAAGGCAATGGCACTACTTGTGTGCTACCGTGCTGCCATCCTTATCAATAGCAGCAAACGTGGCGTCCGCGACGGCGTTCTCTCTCACGTTTTCCCTCTCTTTGCAGCGCTGTGTCTCTCCATCGTACCACGGCTTGCCTAACAAGAGGAATTCCAGTGTTTTTGTTGCTTGTTGTCTTCTTTCCTCCTACGTTCTTTACAGGGTAAATAACGGTCGAGGAATCCCTCAGTGGCAAGTGTGAATGACCGCGCGGGAGAGCATGACTGATCAGTCGAAGTTCCTCGACGAGCCGTTGAGCAATCCTCGAGCGATATTCACCCTGGTTCTTCATCAAAGTTCTTGACCAATTTTTCGAACAAAATAACATCAAATCGGTCCTCAATAACACGTCAACTCGCGCATTCAAAGAATCGAGGAACAAATAAATTCAAGAGTAGGACTAACAATAGCTATTACAGATAGACCACCAGGATCAGTACGACGTTTACACGCTCGAAGTATTACCTGACGGTTGCTCGAATTCGATATTAACACGCCTTGCTCATTGTACTACATGGCCTGAAAAGGTGAGTCTAACAACTTTGCTTTCTTTGTTTTTTTTTGGCATTGTATGGAGTTTTCTTGTTCTTGTCTGCTGTTAGGTGAAGAACCCATGCAACAAAATTCAAACCATATTTACCCAATTCGTGCGAGATCAGATCTTTGTTCGATTGTGACTTTGGACAACCCACCATTAGTAACCCGAATCACAGTGGAGCAGGATCAGCAAAACCGAGACTACCCACTGTTTTTTTGTTTTATCAAAATCGGTTCCCTTACCTGCGCGCCTCAATCGGGGTCCTATTCTGAATAGAAAGGGTCCTTCCTGGGAGGAGAGGTTACGGAATACTTGAACTTTCTTCTATAGTCCTACCACGAATGGTCGGAGCACAGACGAGAAAGAGAAAACAGCGGCTGGCTCGACTCCCTTGGCTCCGAAATCCCAAGGAGGAAGATGGGAGATGATCACGACGTTGATGATAGGGATTGGTGAGGGGTTGTACTTGTGGGTGGGTGACCCCCATAACGTATGGTCTTAGGTCGTGTTGAGGGGTTTATCGACTCTAAAGGGGGAGGGAGGGGTCGTCGTAGTTTTTTGAAACCAATCGAACACCAACGCCACCTTTAACCCTGCTGGAGAGGCTGTTCAGTAGTCAAGAGCGGGCGTTTAATCAACTTGACGATTGAAACCAGAAGAGTTTGAGTGAGTCCGCGAAAGCGGCAACGTTGTCGTGTGTGCACGAGGCACATCAATCTGACCTGCACCCTGACGATATAAACGACGATAATGAACCAACTATTCTTTCCATGGGAATTTCTTCATTCTCCTCCTCGGCCCCACTATCAGGACCAAGACATAAGCCTTATGAACGCAAAGGGAGAGGAATTATGATGAGATAATCTCGTTTAGGCCGTGCCATCCAGCGGTCGAATGGTTTTGCGATTGATACGATGGACACAGTCGTTGGAGGTAGTTCAGCGACAACACTGCGTTATCTCAGTCACCAGTCTCTGAACTAAAGCATGTAATTTAGCCCGGTCCAGTCACACTTCTCTGCAGCGCCGGCGTTGGTCGAACCGGTACATTCGTTGCTATAGACGCTGTTTGTACACGACTTTTCAAAGGATACGAAGGAAATGTGAGCAATTAAAGCGAACAAAACTATTTCAAGGACAGTGATCGCGATGGCTGGAGGGCGGTGCGGTCTTGATGACGTCATGGCTCGTCATTGGCCGACTAAATCTCTCAGGCGCAGGAGGGGGAGGGGGTGGATAGGATCGCGCATTCATCAAGACGTTCAATGACGTCATCGAAACCGCAACGCTCTTGAGCTATCGTGCTCACTGCTTCCAAGACAATTATAAGTCGAAACGTTGTTACAGGTAAAAGATATTGTATTGGAGCTACGACGACAGCGAGCATACTGTATACACAACGAACTGCAGTACTTCTTTGTTTACTCTACCGTACTCGATTACATTAGGGTAAGCCCGAAATTGATTCGAATGAACTCGCAAACACACATTCTGTGCCTGCGTAGGTGTGAGTTATTGCATCCGAAGTGAAAGTAGGTGTGTCAGTTGGTCTACTAGTATCGCCAAATGCAAGGGGAGGTGGAAATCCTCTGAAAGCACCTTTCATGCTTGTCGTATGGGCTGGGATTGTGATGTCGTCGCCTAATATTGTACCTTCTCACTTCAAGAGAGTGAGCACAAATAAGAAGACTGCAAACACACTCTGCACTGACAGCAAGGTCTTTTAAAAGTAATCTCAGCAACTTTGCCTGCAGCCGTTCTCACTTCAGTCCAGTGTCCCTATTATCATAATCGGGTGCAAGAACAAAATGTAGACAATCGTGGAATGTGCCTTTAAGTTCACAAGCGTTGACTCGCTAGATCCACCCACTACGCGGGAATGATCTGATATGATGAATGATGATCCAAAATCAAAATAGAGTCAGATATCCACAAATAAACGAACTTAATTTTAGGCAAAATTGCCGAAATATCACAAGCAAGTGGCGAAATTCTACACTGAATTAAGCAAAGTGTGATATTTCTCTTGCGTTAAATTAGCGAAAATCCAGACAACATAGGCGTGTTTATATAAAAACATATAAATGTCATTGTAATAAAGCAATGTAATATTGTTATTCGAACTTCTCTTTTTGACTTATATTTGTTACGATTTTTCTGACGCATGAGGCTACGCTCATCAAAAAGGAAGGCAAGCCACGAAAACAGTGGAGTGGATCATCAATAGACGACAACCCAGGCAGCAACTCCGGTGTAACGATTCCCTCAGGTCTGAAGAGTACCTTCTAAGAGCCAATTAGAGATGCGGACTCTGAAACGCCCAAGCCTCGCAAGTAGCTGCAGCAGCTGCCCAGTTTTTTCCATTGGCGGTCGCAGCCTCTCAGTGTCGCGGTCTCTGCAATTGCATACTCTCCTCCCTGCGCTTAGTCTCTCATTCCTTTAGCACAGCTGATTACGTAGGTGAGCAACCCTTAAAGGAATCTTCCGCGGAAAAAGCTCCGCCTCCATTACCACAAAAAACGATACCTTAGGCCCCTAGCCTCATGAGCATAGCAAAAAGAACGGAACATAAGCGTTAGTTTCGATAATACTAATCCTACACACAAGACAAAATGATCACTCTTTCCGTGGAAGATTCCTTTAAGGTATCGTTTTCTGTGGTAATGAGGGCGGAGCTTTTTCCGTGGAAGGATTCCTTTAAGATCGCCTTCTCGATGAATTTCTTGCTTTTTCTTTGCCGCGGGCCCATTTTGCACCAATAAGTTCGTATTCGTGTGCAAGAACCACACCAGTTTGATCTTGGGGCATGCCTTTAAGCGCGGGTGAAGAACAATTGCAAGTAAATGGCGAGGGTGCACATTGAACGAGTCTCATCAGTGACGGCGAGGGAGTAGGGCCTTTCGGTAACGGCGGGACGGGCGCTAAACAGCACGGTTCAACCCTTGTAAGCCGGCTGGAAGCATAATCCGTCCCTGCAAAACGCGCCTTTCAACCACTATAACTCCTGCCTTTCTATATTCTTTTTTTTTCGACCTCTGACCTTGTTGTGGAATCTTCCTTTAGATTTCTATAGCTGGCTTCAGCCATTGTTGGGACTATAGGCGAGGAGGGTTACCTCTAGTAGACGGAGAAGTGGGGGGTCCTGCCTGAGTCAACTAGATGAAGTACTGTGGGTACTACACAGAAGCCGCTTGATCGTCGCATTTCATTCTCAATGCTCTCGTACTTACCTAAATATCGTTTTTTTGTGTACTCTGGAACACAGTACATGCTAATTCTATTAAGAAATTCGAATTTTCTTCAGCCGTCATGCACGGAAAAAAGAGTGGACAACTTTTTTAGTCGAAGTTGGATTTGAGCCGTTTGAGCTACAACAAGTTCCGCTTTCTACATGTATACCAACCCATTCTATCTACTTCCAATCAGCAAGATAAGGTAATTATAGTAAATTCGATCTGGCTCTATACGAGAGAGTGAGCGCGTCCGGTATTCGGGGAACAATGTGTTCAGCATCCCAAGAGGGCTGTCGTATCAGTTCACTAAACCCTTGGAGGAAGAACAGGTGATGCTGTATCAAGCCACTTCCAGTCAGTCCTCCGATCAGTAAAGGACTCTCTCGATAAAAAAATCAAGGCTGCTCTTAGTTGAATGTTTTCTTGTTGGCAATATCTGTCAATGACTATGCGACATTCCCATCGAATGACGATGAATTCATAAACAATCTCCAACGAATTCACCTGCCTTCAAGTTGGCTAGAAATAGAAAACAGCCGTTCTGACCGGCAGGAAATTATTATTGTGCCAAGCAAACTTTCCCAATTTCATCCTAAACATCCGCTCATTCTGCAAAAAAAGTAGGATTTGTAATTGTTTACAACATTTGGATTTTTTACTCGTAAACAAGTGCGCCAGCGCATCACAGCGAGTAATTACAGACTATATGCGTTATTGGCCTATCCTAAATCGCTGTCACACAAGTTTAATAAATGCACTTCCACGAGATCGGCTTTTATTTTCAAGCACAGCTGCTATCTGCATAGTCCTTCTATGAGTCATCCTTAGGTAAAGAGAATAACTTTGATTCTCATCTATGCTTTACCTTTCGTAACATATCAACAAAATTAAGAGAAATCACCTCCTGAAAATTTTGGGTGAGGATACTCAACGCCACAACCCAGGTGAGTTCAGGCCGGAATGACATCCTCCTGTGGTAGGTCAGAGCTGTTCACGAAGGCTGGCCAGACCTCCCGTTCGCCCCCCCGCTCTGAAATGCGTAAGAACATGAGTGGTCTTGCAGTTCGCTTTGATCTCTTCCATCTTTCTGCTGATGTCTGCGCTCTCTTGTCCCTTGTGCTCTCTCGTTTATCTGCTCTCCTCCGACTTCAATCTCTCACTGCATCCGCATAAGTGAGCCAAAGCTCCAAGTTAAGCGTTTTCAACAGACTTTTTCTTTTTTTCCTGAAGACGGTTTTATGATGAAGAGGCAGTCCATTAAAAACTAGTTAGAGATGGTTAGTGGTGCACGAAAGCAAAAAAAAAAACACGAGTAAATTGATCCGAGAATCCGTGAATGCAGTCCGTTGCCTCGCGCGTGATTTCCACCTGATCGCGACTCTCATCGATGCTCTCCTCTTTAGCCCTAACGCTCTCTCTTCATATCGGCTAGAGACCCAGACACGAGGCGACGTCGGAGGGGCGTACCGGGCCAATAGCGCGCCGACTGCGCCGCGAGGAGGGCCATGCTAGACCGCCGGGCATCCTCCTCCGATACGATTTTCGTGTCGTGCGCAGCCTCTCAGATGTCCACCCGTCTCTTTCACTAGAAGGGTTTCCCCTTCTTACGACCTTCCGTTGCTTTCTCATGAAACCGCCTTACTTGCGGGTCCACTTCCAGCAAACATTTGCCTTTCGATTTTCGCTTAATGTGCAAGAAACCACAGCCCAGTTATCCCAAAGCGTCACTTTTTGTACACCACGGATCCGCGATCGAACTTGTGTGTTAATTTATTTTTTTCGGAATTGGACGAGAAGTGTCGAACAAAGGAACGTATCGAGAACAGAAGCAAAAGTCATCATAGAAAATACGAAATTTTTCTTGTAACTTTGATTGCGGTGCGATGGTGAGACGCAGCGCTGCGAGAGAGAGAGAAAATACGCGAGAGCACTTCGTACGCGAGAGAGCGCAGACGCTACGTGTGCTGCGATTGATAAATTGGTAGCGGTCGCAACGATGGGCGAAAGCCAGCGTTCACTTCGTCGCGCACATTTTGCAAGGTGATACACGTGCCCCAACCTGTGACTCGGAAAGCATAACTTACCTTCAAGCAGTGCCTTTAAGCATACATGGCACTTACCGCAACTACCAACCGGGCTTCCCATCCATTTTTTGGGTGTCCGGTAACAAACATGGTTGGAAGGAAAAAGGAGAATGAACGAAAGAGTATCCTCTCCTTGTGCTCATCAGTATGGGCCCGGCTTCCCATCCATTTTTGGTGACCGGTAACAAATCATGGTCAGGAAGGACAACAGGAGACTGACGAAAGAGTATCCTCTCCCTGTGCTCATCAGTAAGGGAGGAGAGGAACAAAGAATCTGACTGACATTATTACAGTAGTTATTAAACAAAATTTTGAAAGTAGCTGGTCGCAGAAAGGGGTTTGTTTGTGGAGGCTTAAATTAAGCACGCGAGAAAAAGGGTTTCAATCCAGTTAAGTTCTACTTTCATATGACTGTGAAGTTTTTCCTATGAAAACAGGAAAGTGTTTATTCTCTATTCAATATTCCTTCTTACAAATTCCTAAACTCGTCAAAACTGAGAGAAAGTCATACGCGAAGGGTAGAGTAAGCACTTAGTCCCATATAGTGCGCTTTTTCCCCAGAAACGAGTCATATTCCAGAAAGGATTGGACTAGCAACCAGCTTCGAGTCTACTTGTTTTGTGTCTTATTACCCACCATTCATGTCCTAATTTTATGACAGAAGTGAAAGAATTCAAGACTAATAAGGCTAAAACCTTTCAACTTCTTTACTTCCGGATCCGCATGATCATTATCGTATTTTAGTGCTTTCGTGAGAGTAATTAGCAGGCCACCTGGCACATTTCTGACCAATAGCTTCGGCGCAAATGTTTCCGATAGTGTTGCATGATCGCTCAGTTACTAATAATTCATCTCTTATTGAAGTGCACCTGATTCTGGCTGAATAGTTTATAAGATTCGGAAACAACTCATAGCTGATCATTGAAAGTCATGTGTTATGAACTTTACGACATACTGAACTCATTCAGAGCTTTGATGCCTTGTGAGAGATTATCTTGAGAGGAACAGCTGATCGACGAATCAATTGCTAAGCATGTTTCTCTTTTTCACTGTTTTACTAAGTTTGCTCGCTGAAACCCCTCTACTTGCTGTAATTATACTAGTGCTGCTGCAGCCTAGCGACAGAAACAGAACTAACACGCAAGTCTGCGCTGCTGCAGAAGAAAGTTGGATCCGCAGCGAGTATCTTTCGAGGGAATGAATGGCGGTTGCGCCGAATAACGTGCCTTCCTTTTCTTATTGGGTTATTCCAGCAATATTTCAGTTGACGTAAGTTGCGTTTAACTGTGAAACCCTGATTACGCCAGTGTGGTGAAGTCCTAGCTCTAGAAAGTCAGTGTAACAAAGGAGGTCTTTCAGGGCAAGGTGCGCTTTTTGGAAACGGTTTAGTACATGTTGTAGGGACGCATGTATGGACCACAAAACCATGTTTCGTTTTCGCTGAACGGTTTTAGTAGTACCAAAAAAGTGGTGAATAATACTCTTGATGGTTCAATCCCCGCGGCGACTAAATTTTGCAATCAAGGTTGGCGGCCACTTGTTGGCTTCAAAATGGTCCTGACGATGAATTTGACATCTGATTTTGATATTTAGCGCGATTTGGCACCAAACCGTAGGCGCCAACCCAAATGCAAAATTTAGTCGCCACGGGGGATCGAACCCTTAACAGTACCTTATGCTTCTTTTTTGGTACTGCTATAA